TCAGGGACTTCAGAGTCCCTTGTAAGTGGACTGTGCTTATATTTATATTGATATTCGTTCCTACTTTCCCTTAATCTCCCCCTCCCACCCTACCCCCAAAGATTTTCTTACCTATCCACTTAGGCTAGTTCTCCATGTGAATAAAGGGCCTTTCTATGCTATACCTGTTAGCAAGGTTGTTCTTTCCCAGAGTTTGAAATTTCAAATTAGTATGCTTCAGGGACTTCAGAGTCCCTTGTAAGTGGACTGTGCTTATATTTATATTGATATTCGTTCCTACTTTCCCTTAATCTCCCCCTCCCACCCTACCCCCAAAGATTTTCTTACCTATCCACTTAGGCTAGTTCTCCATGTGAATAAAGGGCCTTTCTATGCTATACCTGTTAGCAAGGTTGTTCTTTCCCAGAGTTTGAAATTTCAAATTAGTATGCTACACTGGAGGTTTCCAAAAGACCCTCTCAAAATAAAGGGATAAACTAACATTTATTGGGCATAATGTTCTAGGAATTGTGTGCAAGTTGCTTTCAAGAACATCTCATTTAATCCTAATAACAATTTATGATATAGGGAGAAAGGTCTTCATTTTTGAGATGATGAGACTCGGAGGAGAAAAATAGTGTATTCACAGTCACATGATAACTTAGTGACAGAGACAGTATTCACACCCAAGTTTGAATCCAGTGTTCCTGGGGCTGTACAGTCATCCCTCTCTGCTGATTCATGCTCTCCATCTTCACTCTCACCATTACGAAAACTGACTTGTCATGTGTGCTGCATTTCATGTTTTTCCCCCCATTTTCCTTCTTCCGCTCAAAAGGGACTTGATGTTGTGAGCACTAGTTCTACTACAAATACTTCCTATCCTGGTTCCTGTGAATTACCCAGGATGAGGCCAGGCTATTTCCTTTCCTCTCTGCTGGAACAGTCCGTTCTAGGAAGTTGTCATTTGTCCTACCCAAGTCCCTGGCCATCCTCAAATTGTTCCTCAGAGGCATTCAGCCATCCTGGAGCTGGATCACTGAAGCCTAGTCCCCAACCTTTGCCCCAATAACTCGCTAAGCTTCATCAGCTTGCTTCCAGAACTGTGTTCGACATTTATAGCTCAGCAAACCCCTCCACCTGTACCATATTCCATCCCTTTGGCTATTGTTCTAACTTACTTATGGACTTAAATGATAATCTACACGTGCCACCATCACTGCTCTGCAGATCTTAAACTCTGAAGGCCTTTATCCAGGACAATAAAAAGGAGAAATGGAGTAAATGACCCTGGAGGTTCTTTTCTTGAATTGATGAGGTGTGTCTACCTTACTACCAGCAATGCTTTTCTGATGCCTCCTCCTATCTTCCTGTCAGAATAGCTTTTGTCCTATGAGGTAAGTCTCAGAGACATTAACAATAACCTCTCATTCTATATGATACCTTGCACTTTCAAAGCACATTCCTTGCCTTATTGAAGCAGCCAGGGCAGAGAGCAATATTCCTTTGACCGATGGGGGAATTGAAAGCCAGAGCAGGGAAATAATATGCCCAAGCCACAGAAAAGTTCATAGGAGCTAAGCTTAGAACTAAGAGTTTACAACTAGATGCTTATGTGTTGCCAAGTATTTTAATTCACTCACTTATTTTGTGAGTTTACAACACTGATATTAAAGTATATTTATAGATTCTGGCTGGATTTATCTGCCACTTCCTGCACCTGCCCATTGACCAAGTTGGCTAATGATACTGTTTGCATGCTTTCTCCCTGCCCCCACCTCTCCAATGATCTTAATGCCTTTTCCTTAAGGTAATTTGTCCTGTTGAAAATCTTAGTCTATGTTTCCTGACTCCAGGTCACTGACCTCTGTTGGCTGAGCACAATCTTATGGAAAACGAGCTAAAGATGGCAGGCAGATGGGGCACAGAGCCTTCTTCTGGAGAATGAGCACATTTTCCTAGATCTAGCCCTTAGAAATTTAGGTTCCAGGTATTTTCATGAAAAATTGTGTGATTTATAAGCAAGTGACCAAAGTACCTCCTGATACTAAGAGAGCACTATTTGGAGGCAGCGTGTTAGAATCCAGGGGAGTTGTGAATCACAGGGCTCTGAAATCATAGTCTGGGTAGGAATCCTAGATGTACCCTTCCCTGGCTCTGTGATCTTAGGCAAGTGGCTTAAATTAAAAAAAAAAAAAAAAAAAAAAAAAAGAAAGTATGTCATATGGTGAAATCAATCAATCTACCTTCAAAAGTACACAAAAGAATAAGATAAAAAATAAGTTTCTCTTTTCCCATTTCTTTTTCATCACATATAATCCCCATTATCAGTTGCAAGTCTATCCTTCCAGTGTGGGGAAAATGTCTGCACACATACATGCTTCAAACATACATGTAGCATCATGCTGCATAAACTCTTCTTTTTGAACCTTGATTTTTATTGCACTCAAAAATACATCTTAGTGATATGCTTTCAGCATATACTGATGGACTTCTTTCTTTTTAATAGTTGCATGAAATTCCATTTGAAAGTCATACAGTAATTTCATCATATATATTGGTAAGTACTTAGATTTCCAGTTTTTGGGTTGTTTTTACCATTACAAACAGTGCAATAATGGCTAACATTTAAGAACATATCCATAGGAGGGAATCCTGAGTGATGCAGTCAATTAAGTATTTGATTCTTGGTTTCGGCTCAGGTCACGATCTTGCGGTCCTGAGATTGAGACCCACTGGGCTCCATGTTGAGTATGGAGTCCGCTTTCTCTCTCCCTCTGCCCCTTCCTCTCTTCTCTAAAACAAACAAATAAATCTTAAAAATATATATATCCGGGGTGCCTAGGTGGCTCAGTTGGTTAAATATCTGCCTTTGGGTTATATAATGAGGTCCTGGGATGGAGCCCCATATTGGGCTCCCTGCTCAGCAGGGATCTTGCTTCTCCCTCCCCCTCTGCTGCTCCCCCTGCTTGTGCTCTCTCTCTCTCTCAAATAAATAAATAAAATCTTTAAAAATAAATAAATAAATATATGTATATATATCTCCATAGGAAAAAAAGAATACATCCATGGGATAAATAACTTACCTTTTCCAACTATACTGAGATATAATTGACAAAACTGTATATATTTAAAGTGTGCATCATGATGACTTAATATACCTATACTTTGTGAAATGGGATTACCACACTCAGGTTAATTAACACATCTATCAACTTGCATAGTTACATTTTATGTGTGTGTGGTGAGAACACAGAAGATCTATTTTCTTAGAAAATTTCAAGTATACAATATAGTATTATTAACTATAGTCACCATGTTGTATATTAGAAAGATAAACAATTTCTTGAAGAGTTGCTGGTTCAAGGAACAGACACAGTTACAGTTTTTACTGATATTGCCACACTGCCCACCCCCTCCCCCCAATAAGGAAAATACAGCACTCTTTCTCAGTGTTTGAAAGTTTGGGAAAGCCACTTCCTCTCCCTTAGTTCCCTTCTCCTTCGCCCCAATCCCCACAGTTTCTTGCATAAACTGGACACAGAGAAGGACTTTCTGACTGGCGGTCTTGTCAAATCAGCCCAAATTCACCTTCTTTGCCAATCCTAAACAGAACCCAAGATGTACATCCTTAAAGCACAGACTAAAAATATCTATGGTGCCTGTGTTGTCAATTTCCCCCTATTGTAACATTTTCTTAACAAGCCTAGCAGCTGAGGATCTATGTGAGTTTAATGGCTTGCAGCTTCCTTGATGGGCCAGGCAATGAACCATCTCACCTTATTGCTAAAATGAGTAGAGGCTTCTAGATTTAACTCTTCTTACTCAAGGCAACGAATATACTCACCAATTCCTATCCAACTAGGGCTTGTGAGGCTGAGGACCACGATTTCAGACACTTCTCTTCTAAGGCTCCCGCAAAACTTAGGCAAGCCCAACTTGAAATCTTCCTGTTTTATGCATGGAATAATGGAGAAAGGTCTAGAAATAGGAGCCAGTGGAGTTGGGTTCAGGCATAGTTCTACCACTTTTCAACTGTGTGACTTTGGGCAAGTAATCACCTCTCTCAGCCTTAGTTTTCTCTGTGTAAAATAAGGTTAATAATAATTGTAATACTAATAGCAAGCATTCACTATGCACTAGCCACTATTCTAAGTATTTTATGTATTTTACCTCATTTATTAATACCTTATTCACAGGTTGTTGCAAATACTTAATAAAGCCAGATGAAAATAACTGACATGAAAGTGT